GAGTGGTTGACAGTGGTAGCTGGGCACCACCTAGTTCTTCTGGTCTTGTGGTCATGTAGCTGAGGCTGCATGGTCCACCAGTCCCTTGGACTCATTGTTTCCATGGGTCTTTGATTTTCTTCATTCTTCTTTGCTCCAACTGAGGAGAAACCAGTTGTTGCATCTTAGACGGCCACTCACAAGCAGTCCCTCCTCACCAAAGTAGGATGGAAATCAATGTTTTTGTGTAGTATGTTCTGCCAACTGAGCATAATGTCTCTTACGACCATGGTCTCGAGCCCATGGGTCCAGCAACTTACTCCCTCAAGGTGTTTGGCTGTGATGGAGAAGTTTTCATAACTTTGTGGGGGAGATTCTTAAGGCATTTGACTGCTAACCAGAAGCCTGACAGTTCAAACTCACAAGCCACTCCACGGAAGGAAGGTTGCGCAATCTACTTCCGTAGTTACACTGCCTCGGAAACCCAAGGAGGGGTCACTATGAGTTGGATCCGACTTGACGGCAGTGGGTTTTTTTTTATGTGTCCGCAGTGACTAGAAATAACCCTTTACGAGCCTTGAAGTCACAGCCACGTGAGTCTTCTTTGCCTCAGTGTCAAAGTCCTGGTGCAGCCCCATGGTCACCGCCTGTGGGGACAGGACCTGAGCCCCCTAACTCTATCTCAGGCTTCAGGGATACCCCACCTTGACCGGGGGATGCAGGATGGGGCACAGTGCCTGCCTTTGGATCTTCAGCTGCGTTTTCTGGGATCCCCAATACTGGGTTGGCCACCTGGAAATGGGGTCCTGTCCTGGGTCTCTCATCCTTCTATTCAGAGCTTAGGTTTGGGTGAGGGGCCAGTTTGTTGTAGTGGATCCCTGGATGGTGCAGACAGTTAACGCACGTGGCTGTGAACCAAAAGCTTGGAGGCACCTCGGAGGGACGGCCTGGCAGTCTGTTCCAAGAGGGCAGCCATCGAAAAGCCCGGGGAGCCCAGTTCCACCCTGATGCACACAGGTAGCCATGGGTCAGGGTTGGCTCAGTGACACCTGGTTGGTTTTATGGTGGTGGAACCAAATGACCAGGAGAGGTTTTCAGCTTTGGGAGGTGACAGTGACTCCAGTCCATTCCTTGCCGTTAGGGAAGGATTGGCATCCCCTTGGGGAATCTGAATACCTTGATGCCATCACGGAAGGCAGCGCCCACCATTGCCTCCTGGCACGTTACACCATGCCTAGCATGTTACACCGTTCCCGGCACCATACCTAGCATGTTACACTATGTCCTGCATGTTACACCATTCCCGGCACATTACACCATGCCTAGCATGTTACACTGTGTCCTGCGTGTTAACACAGTTCCCAGCACGTTACACCATGCCCTGCACAGGCAAACCTTCAGCCCATGTTTGTGGAATGCATGAGAGGGATCCCAGGAACTCTCAGGTGTGCGTGCGGTCTGCTTTTACATCTTTGGAACTGGGAATCCGTCCTCCTTGCTTAAGGGGCTCCCCTGCAAACCAGTGCAGACGAGGTCCCCGGCCACAGCGTCCCTGTTCTCCTGGCCGGGAGCAAGCTGTGCATGTCACTGTTCTTACCATGCTGAGAGTGCCCCAAGCAAAGGGACGAGTGGCTGGGAGCCACTGGCCTTGCCCCAGGACGACCTGAGCGGGACACTCTAGAAATCCAGTGGGCAGCACTTTCCCCCACCCAGCCCCATGTGCTCCATTCAGGTATCCCACCGAGAAGGGGTCTAATCACTGTGCCAGAGATCAAAGGCACAGGCCACTGGGCTAGTGGCCCCACGGAGCCTGCAACACACACGCTCCGACGGCCACAAAGATGCTCGGGGGCAGGACTTGGGCCCCATGGCGAGGTGTGCACAGAGGCACAAGGGAATGTCACCAAGCACACTGTCCGTGGGCAACAGCCACACTTTAAATAGATGTAAGGGGACACCCGTGGAGTTCAGAATTAGTGAGGCAAAAGATTTCCCAGTGAGCTCCTGACATAAACCCCAGTTCCCATCCCCAGACAAAGGCGGGGTCACGGCGGCAGGCGGACATGAGCACGTGTCGCAGTGGCGCGCGGTGTCCCGCCAGCACACATCAAGGTGGTGTCACAGCTCAGGAAGCAAGTGACAGTGCTGGGCCTTTGTGCCTGGCTGGCCGCTGGTTAAGACCACAGGTCAGAGATGCGGGTGCACGCAGGTGCGGGTCCCGCTGCGGCCAGCTGTGGGTTCTGGAGGCTCTGAGACAGGGCGCAGGCCAGAGGGCAGACAGGGGTGGGCATCAGCTCACCAGCCCCCAGAACGTGGACTCAGACTTGTCTTGCAACCGCCCCGAGTTGACTCTGTGGGTTACAGGATTGATCTGGGACAGAGAGGGTTTGCTCGAGGGAGCCCCGTTTCTCCACGGTGGCTCCTTTCAGGAATCCCTACCTTCTGCTCTCATTCTCTGCAGCGAGCACTCTGGTCTCCCCTCGCCGAGACGGTTGGCACTCCCAGGGCTGGCAGTGCAGTCAGCTGCTGTCCAGTTGGCTAAGCTCATGTGACCTTACGTGTAACAGACAGAACGTTGCCCCGTCCTATGCTGTCTTCACGATCGCCACACATTGGAGTCTGTGTCTGGGTGAGGCTGTCGTATCGCTGCATCTCAAAGGGTTCCCCTTCTTTTCTCTGGCCCTCTGCTTCACCATCCAGGAGTCCTTTGCTAGCGATCGGCCCCTCCTTGACGACACGTCCAAAGTCAGTGAGCCAGAGTGCCACCGTCCTTGCTTGAGGGGCACTCTGGTGGTGCTTGGAATGCACCCAGGGATGTCAGGGAGTGTTGAGTCAAGCTGTGCGCAGATGGGGACAACTTAGTCAGGGTCACAAGGCTGGAAAGGGGCAGACCCAGGACTCGCCCCCACCTCGTCACACGCATCCAGTGCTCTTCCCTGCCCCCCCAACAAGCATTCATTTGGGACCCTCTGGCTCACCGCTCTGGTGGGTGCCAGCTCCCTTAGCCCCATGCTCTCACCTGACCTCTTCTGCATGCGCTTGCATTTGCCATTGGAGTGTGTGGCTGCTTCATTGTCACCCTTCAGCCTTGTCCCCTATCACCATCTGTGATGACTGGATTGTGTACCCAAAAATCTGTATTGTAAATCCCAGCCGCTGCACACATGCACATAGACCTGTGTGGAAATGTGGCTTGTCCTCATTAGTTAAGAAGCCATGTCAGTGTAGGATGTGTCTCAACCGATCGCCTTTGTGGTAGAAAAATCAGATGAGCACAGAGAAGGAAGTGCATACAGAGAGGAATACAGGCTGCAGGGACATCCCCGAGAAACCGACGCACAGAAGCTGAGAAGAGATGGGCACCTTCCCCCAGAGCCAAGGGACAGAGAAGCCCTCCCCTAGAGCCAGCACTCTGAATTCGGACTTCTGACCTCCTGACCCCTCCCCATGAGACAATAAATGTGTTGGCTGGTTAAAGCCACCCCTTGTGGTATTCCTGCAAAAACGACAAGGCGGCCACGTGTTCTGACCTCCTCTAATCCCACAAGAGGGAGACACAATTACCATCAATAGCCCAAGGCCTATTCCTGCGAGGCCAGACATGCTGCCTCCCTCCAGCCCTTTCACCAACCGTTCCTCCCAAAGCACCCACCACCTCTCTCCTGGGTTCGATAATTCGATGCAGTGGCCACACAGAACTCACAGATTACAGGGTTTATTAGGGAAGCACCAGGCTACAACTCAAGTTCAGGAAGAACGCTCAGTCTCTCTCCCAGCCCACCGTCCCTCAGCCAACAGTCTCTCACAGTCTCTCTCCCAGCAGTGCGTGTCCCTCGGTGTCTCACTCAGCAA